AAACAAGATAATAACTTATTGATTAATTATTTGAGGTTCTTAATTTATACAGGACAAAATAATAATGAAGACATAATTAATTAATATTACATAAAAATAACGTTAACTAATCTAAAGGAAGTAAATAAATATTTGTACAAAACAGAATATATATATATATATATATGTAACGACCTGTTTAGTCGTTTTGAGCAGCAGACTTCAATTCTTGAAAAACTGGCAGAAGCGACGGACCCCACGACGGACCATCCCAGGGGTCTCATTTCAAAACACTTAGAAAATCTGAAATTGGGTACTGGAAATCGACTCTCTGAACTTCGTGACGTAATGGCAGGACGGACCGTCACAGACTCTTCAGAGAAATTGAGTCTCTGAACTCTGTGACAGGCAGCAGGACGGACTGTCGCAGGCGCGACGGGCCGTCACAGACTGCAAAATCCCAGTCTGGGTCGGATTTCTTTATACGTTTTAAGGGACGTTTTTGACTATTCCTGCCTTAATTATAAAGTTAGTGGGTTAATGTTAATAAGTCTAATTACTTGGGGGTTAAAAGAGTTAACCTTAAGTTAATTAGTGGGTTATTATTGCCATCTTTTATTCTTAATTATATACTAATTAGGGTAAAAGAAAGAGGGTGTGAATAAAGAAAATAGAAAGAACAAGAAGAGAGAGAGAGGGTCGATCGAGAAGGGGAAACAAAAAGCTGTGGAGAAGATTTGCTTGCTTGATCACTAATCTTCGGTGGAGGTAGGTTATGGTTTTCATGCTATTCGTAGTAAACTCTTAATAGCGAATGATATGTGTTAGTAGTATTGTGAACCTTCTATATGCTTAATTGTATGCTTGCATGAATGATGTGATTATGTAATTATGAATAAATAAGCATGATGAAGCTATTGAATCCCAAATCTTGAAAAGAAACCCTAGTCTACTTTGTTAATGATGATGCCTTGGTATTAAAGAAGGCTTGATGAATGAAAGTAGTGAGATTAGGGGATCGGGTGCCACGTTCCGGTACCAAGATAGTATATGAGGATCGGAGTGTCACGTTCCGACACCAGGATAGAATATGGATCGGGTGCCACGTTCCGGTACCAGGATAGTATATGAGGATCGGAGTGTCATGTTCCGACACCAGGATAGAATATGGATCGGGTGCCACGTTCCGGTACCAGGATAGTATCTGAGGATCGGAGTGTCACGTTTCGACACCAGGATAGAATATGGATCGGGTGCCACGTTCCAGTACCAGGATAGAATATGGATCGGGTGTCACGTTCCGACACCAGGATAGAATATGGATCGGGTGCCACGTTCCGGTACCAGGATAGTATATTGAGGAGCGGAGTGTCACGTACTGACACGAGGGGAATAAAGATAATGAATCTTGAAAGATGTTAATATATTCAACCTAATGAACCGAATTCCCAAATGAGTATGATGAGGAGGCGTGAGTCCTCATTGATGTGCTTGGTGTTGTAACCAAGGGTTATGGTAACTGTAAATGCTGCATGCTAAGGATATTAGTTGATTTTATGATATTGCTTAATATATACTGTTTTCTATTTTGAGTTGGCCGATGATATCTACTCAGTACCCGTGTTTGTACTGACCCCCTACTTTTATGTTTTCTTCTTTGTTATTTGTGGAGTGCAGCAAACGTGTCGTTGTCTTCAACTCAACAGTAATTCTAGCCACTCTTCGTCACACCGGATCTTCAGGGTGAGCTAATGCTTCTAGCTTGGACTGGATCTTCTCCTTCATGTCTTGATGCCTTGAACTTCCGGCGTGGACTAGCTTTTATTTGTTTTAGCTTCTTAGAATACTCTTAGTTTAGTAATTTGATCATAGATGTTCTTGTGGTGATGACTTCCAGATTTTGGGGATAATAATAGTTATTGATTTTATTAATGAGTTTAATTCTTCCGCATTACTTTCTGTTGATATTATATTGAAATGTTAAGGTTTAGATCGATTGGTTCACTCACAAGGAGGGTAAGTGTGGGTGCCAGTCGCGGCCCGGATTTGGGTCGTGACAATATATATATATATATATATATATATATATATATATATATATATATATATATGTATATGTATATGTATATATATATGTATGTATACACACACATAGTTATATCATTATTTCGGAAAAACTAACAAACCTATTTAGAGAAAAGATTTAATATACTTTTGAAATTATTTCATTTGAAATTAAACAAGCTCGATAATTTATACAAATTTCATGGGGTTAGAATTTGATGTCAACACATGTGATGATTGAAAAGATACAATCACCTTATTTAAAAATTATCTACAATTTATTAGTGTACTTGTTGTTAATTATATATAACAATATAGAGTGTATAATGTTGTATACGATTAAATGACAATAAGACTGTAGTATAAAAGTATGGTCTATGTAGATTTTGTTATTTTATTAGATTGTATATTTTTGAAAATACCTCGAAGCATATTAAGCACGATTCTGTCGTTTATTTTTTAATAAAATTATTTAGTAGAATTAAATTATTATAAATAAACTTTCGACTGAATTTAGAATAATCCATTCGTTTCTATCAGTAAATTGATTTTAAAAACATTGATAGTCATAATTATGGTACTTTATAATAATATATTTGAAATCTTTGTTTGTTAATATCTTTCCTTTATGCTTTCGTTTTGAAGTTTATTTCACAAAGATTTTAAAGTTTAATAGAAATACATGAAATATTTCACATATTTGCAAAGTCTTATTTTGTAAGTAGTTGGTATCTATGTGTAGTTGCTATACCTACGTGGGATCACTACTGAAAATATATACTCTTTAGATTAAAGCAAATAGACCAACTTAGTCTGTACAATTTATGAATCACAAAACCGATATACACTCATAAAAATTAGCACCAAGAATTGAAAAATAATTTTTCTATTGTCTTCATCGATAAAGTGTATAAATAAAGAACGCAAGGTTTTAAACCAGCAAATATTTATGATGTAGTGGTAGAATAGTGCCCACTCAAGTTACTTATACTCTGGATTGTATTATTTAAATGATGCATTTCTTGAATGCATAATTTAAGAAAATCAATGAGTTTAATTTTTTGTACTGTTATAAAATTGATCAAATTCGTTGGTTTTAATTTTTTCCCTCGCCAATTAACGAATGAACTCTTGTCTGTTTCTTGTTAGGAACTTATTCTAATGTTTTTGTCAGTTGTCAGTTGTACTTATGAAGAGAAAATACCATAAATGGTCCTTTAACTATTGTAGTAGGTCTAAAATAGTTTTACAACTATCTTAATATTTTATCCATTTTGGTCTAAAGAGACCAAACTTGATAAAGTATTAAGTCTTTTTTAAGTATTATAAAATTCATCAGGCTTGGTCTCTATTTATTTTTATACATATAAAAATTACTTATGTTTATATAAAAGAAATTCATGCATTTGTGCAATTAAATGTTTAACCCATTAAATATCACGAATTAGATACATCATTAGTGACAAAATAATGTATGATTACTAACTTTAGATTTGTTACTAATACTATTCATGATTGGAGAATTTTTTATTTTTTTTAAAAAAAGAGAGTGGCTGTGGGCGGGGGGGGGGGGGGGCATTTCAATAAAGAAGAGAGTAAAAAAACAATCTTTTTATAAATTTATTACTTCAACAAAAAATATTTCAAGAAATATTTTGCAAGTGAAAATGACAAAATAAATATAAAAGAGGTAATCTTGTATTAGATTTATAATATGATAACAAGAATATCTTAGAATCAAAGAAATTTTAATCATCAAAATAAAAAATATATATATGAAAAATTTTGGAGGTACAATATTTCATTTCATTTATTAAAAAGTAAATAATTTATTTTACAATTACTGTTGTAGACACTTAATTTTTGACCGAACATAAGGCTTTACACTTGTTTTTATTCCTTAAATATTTATTTTAGGATAAGTTGCATATTTTAATTTTTTTTTCTTATTTTAATAAGTTTATTTTAAAAGATTTGAAGATTAAAAAAAATACTCTCAATACATTAAACTTGTTGAAAAAAAGAAATTGGTTGAACATTTTTTAAAAAATAAAATAAACATTCATAATGCTTTCTTTGACAACAATGATTTTAAAATATTTTACATAGTAGCACGTATTTTAGATTTACTTTAATATCATAAAACATGTAGGAATTAGTCAAAGGTTATATATATATATATATATATATATATATATATATATATATATATATATATATTGATTGGTTGAACCGAATCTTAAAATTAGGCTGCCTACATATCTTGTCAAAGCAAGAATCAGATCAGACGTAGTTCAAGAAGTTTGGTCTTTTGTGATTATTATTTTTCAACCTTTCTTTTCACTTTTTCTTGACTCTTTTTTGTGAGTATATTTTTTTGAATTTTTTACTCCTTTTTTAATTATTGTATTTTGATTCCAAAAGAGGGATATTAAAGAGAATAAAATTAAGGCTCAAAAGGGGTAGCAAAGGATCACACGGTGTTTAGATAATAGAATGAAATACATTTGTCATATCAATTATTAAAAATGTCAAATACAAGCATGCTTTTTAATATGTGAAGTGAAAATCATATATTATCTCTTTGCAAAATGTATGCATTGATGGATATGTATATTATTTTTATTTCATATTTTTAATCTTGGAATCTCCATTTGAGTAATTCCTTCTTTGCAACAAATGACGTGCGTCAATTAAAATTAAATTTATCCTTCTAAGTTTTTTTGATACTAAAGGATGTATCAAGGTGTTTAACTCCTTTATTCATTCCCTCAAATGTGTCTTTCCTCGACTTCTTTGGTGTATATATATAACCTTACAATCTCACCAAATTCTCTTGCATATCATGTCACAAAAATGATTGAGAAGAGATGCATATATGGAAAGTCAAATAGAATAGATCAAAGTGTCATAAAAGAAATATTATAATAAGATAAAAGGACTTGGTGACAAGATAAAAAACTAAATTTTAGGTTACAACTCCATAATAATCAAACCACGACAAAACTGAAGAAACAAATGCATTAGAGAAACGATAGAAAGGTCTGACTTACTAATATAAAATAAAAAAAATTGCATAGCAGAAATGATGGTAAAATAACTATACACTTTTTAGAGAAAAGAAGAGTGTCTCCAAATCACCAAGCTTGACTTTTTAGACACTGCTTTGCACGTTAACCTTCGTAAAAGCTCCACCAATTTCAATTGTATTTTCTTCAAATTTGGGAAAATTGTCATCACATATCATCTCAATGAAGTGTAGATCATCACGTGTTGGTAGAGGATTATGAGTAACATTTGGGGTATAATTATTTTGGACCACATGCTTGGATCATCTTTTCCACCTCACTTTTCAGAGTTCAACAATCTTCAGTTCTTTTCCCAAGAGCATCAGAGTGATATGCACATCGTGCTAAAAGATTGAAACCTTTTGAACGTGGATCTGCAAAATGTTGAGGAATCGACTCAATCATATTTAGAGGTTTCAATTTCTCATATAAACTCGTGTAAGACTCTCCAATTAGTGTGAAATTGTTTCACAAGTCTTTGACCTCCTTCAAATCCCTATTTTGAATGGGTATTAGAAGGTGTTCAAAAATTTTGAGAAGAAGGACGAACATTTTGATGTGTTGGTGCTCGCCATTGAGGATAGTTTGATGGATATGTATATGGTTGTGCACCATAGACCGCTTATTGAGGTGAGACCGTAGAGTATTGTGTGTCTTGCATGGGGGGATAGTTATGAAATTGAGGTGGTGCATATTGATAAACTGGACCCCTTGGACCTTATTATTTGTTAGACACAACATTTAATACATCCTCTTTCATTTTCTTTCACCCAAGATTTCCTGATCCATTTTTAATCACCTGTGTGTGACTTTCAAGGAAACATGACTAATAATTTTTCCAAACTTTCTGTCATTTTTCACCATTTTACTAATCTTAGTAAATTTGTCGAATGCTTTTTCAACAACTATGTGTAAATAATGGAAGTAGTCAGGTTCTTGCGCTTGGAGAAAAACATCAATCATTTCCGACTCCTTCAATGGTGGTGTAACCCTAGCAGCTTGCTCCCTCTATCTGAAGGCATATTCACAAAAATTTATATTGTCTTTTTCCTCATGTTTTCTAACGAGGAGAGCTATGGCACAATGTCAATATTATATTGGAATTGTTGCACAAGACATCGAGCCAAGTCATCCCATGTATATCAGTTGGCAATATCCTGATCCATGAACCATTCGAATGCCATTCCTACTAAACCTTCCCCAAAATAATCCATAAAAAAATCTTCTTTGCCCTTTGTACCCCTCAGTTGATTGCAATATCTTTTCAAATGGGATATGGTGTCTTCGTGACCATCGTATTTCTCCTACTTTGGAGTTTTAAAACCAGCAGGCAAAGGGACATGGGAAAACATACACAAGTCACTGAATGAGATGTGTTTGTGGCCTTCTAATCCCTGCGTATCTCTTATACTTGTTCCAAACTCTTGTTTTTCTTAGCCATCTCTTCATGTTCTTCATTATTAACCTTCTTTTAAACTTTGATAGGGGAACTATATTGATGAACGTGGGGGATAAGAGCTTGGAATTTTAATGGTCTCTTAACCGGTGTAACCATGATCATGAAGAACTTTGATGAAGGATCGTCGTTTGACTTTGGCATCATTGTTGGTTGCCGGACGCTACTAGTTGGGGTTGTTGCCACAAAATGTGGAGTACTTATCATGGGTTTACTTGAAGGTCGCATCGTAGAAGTTCCCGCGACGTTGGATATGTTAGCATAGGGTTTGAACCCAGTGGGATAGATTGGATCACTTGTCGACACCTGGTTAGGGGGCGGCATACTTGTATTTAAATAGTCCAGAATTGAAGATGGTAGAGGTTTTTCACTAATATAAGCTTCATACATCTCCATCATTTGTTGTCTTAGCATCGTTACCTCTTCGATTGACAATGTTTCTTGTAACCACCTTCGGCTCTGGACCTCATCATTGTCCAACTCATTTCTGTCGTTATGAGTCATTTTATTTTACCCTTCTGATCTTGTATTGTAGGGATGGGATGCTAGCTTAATCACAAACCAACGACATTAAATTTGACTGTGTGCATGACACTACTAAAAAAAGCGTTTGGCGACAGTTATTAGCGGTGAACAGTATTCCGTCACTATATAACAACAGACTTAAGACGGAATAACCATTTTGTTTCAAAATTAACAAAGTATTTTGACTTATAATATAGAAACAAATTTACAACGAACTATATAATCCATCGCTAAATATTAGAGAGAAAATTTGGCACCTTATTTTCCCTACGAATTTAGTAACAAAGTGGTGGTAACAAATTTAATTAATATTGGGGACAGGATCAGTGACGTAAAAAAGTTGCTTAACTATCATATATATTTTAATAAAAAATATATATTATATAGTGACGAAAATATCCGTCACTAATTCCGTTGCAAACTCCAATTTTAGATTTCCATTACTCTCATTTAATCTTATTCGTCCATCATAATTTATCAAACTCCAAGAGTCAATCCCATCTGCTCATCTGAATTTATCAATAGTCCTGATTTAAGACTCTTGCTTTCCCATCTTATACAAAAGATCCCAAATTCCTAATTTTCTTCATTCTCCTCTCCTCTCTAAGTCTGCCGCCCAGGCCTTGTTTGCCTTCCTCTTCGTTCTTCTTTTTGGACTTTGAAGCCCAGAGAACGAGCAATAAACAATGACAGTGAGCTTCGAAAGACGCTCGAAGACCACCAGCGAACCTCCTTCGCTATCAGAAGATTCAATCGGCGAGCAATTAGGCGACCAGGTGGTCTCCATTTGGCTACAGCAGCAACACAAAAAATAGCGACATCAGTTGCTCCCTCTCTGACAAAAAAAGATAGCAACTTTACCTACACACAGCAAGTAGCGATGGTGAGCACCGACAGCATCCAGCTCCAGCGAGCAACACAGGAACAAAAGCGAGGGAGAACACAACAACAATTTCAGTCATAGGAGCTCTATGAGGATTTTAGGTGAAGAAACTCTTTGCTTCAATGCTCTCTAAAAAAAGCATTCTTATCAAATCTTTTATCGAAACACTAAGAGTTTAAAGTAATAAAATTACAACAATTCTTATGTAATTTGATTTTATCTGTTTCTTGAAATCTATATTAAAGAAATTGTTCCAACACAAGTAATATATGGCTTTCATGAGAATGATGTTAGCTTAACTTGAATTTCTTTAACTCAAGTCAGATTTCACCTCTTGACATTTGTGAGAGATAGTAAGAAATCAAAATATGTGATTTTCTTGTCTTTTTTTCAGATGAAACTTATATATAGGGTAGTATAAATCAATAGAAGCAATTCGAGTAGTTCAAAAGGATATGTACGTTTTTTCTGTACAATATGGTGGCGTTTCTATAAGATCCATCAAATACCAATCTGTTCTTATATTCATTGCAATTATCCTTGATTCCCTCAACTGTGTTTAGCCATTTTATATTTGTCTCCTTTATGCCCCCTTCCCCCTTTTTCAGTTCACATTGAAGCTGGTGCATTTAGGTGTATAAAGATAAATTATTATTCCAAGTGCATCCTTGTGTTGACGAGCGTGAAGTTGTTGTTGGACTCACACGGGTGACTATATCTTAATTGGAGAATATCACAGAAAACTTGTGAGTATATATTTCACAAATTATATAAGTACTATTTTTAGGTTTTCTGATATATACACTTGTATCTAAATACACATTACATAATAGATAATATTGTATCTAAAGGTGATTTATCTTTCGTATAGGCTATTGAAAAGGATCAAGATCCAACACCAAGCGAGTTACATTTGCACGTCCATATGCATGGTAATGATGAAAAATCTTTTGTTGATGAGCGCTCTCAAATTTTTCATGTAAGTCCAAAACATTGAAAACTACCTTAAAATATACATGTAATTTCTCATTAGAAGGAGAAACTATCTCTCTAATTCTTGTTTGGTTTTTTGTCCTTAGCTTACTGTTTCATGTTTCGTGAACCTGTTATGTGCTTGGGATTATTCGTTTGTGATTTGTTAACTCTAATTGATTTGTCTTCTTAAGCTAGAATGTTTTAATCACAGTTTGAGTCCTTATGCTTATTTATTAATCAAGTCTTTACCACGTGAACCCCTTTCTTAATATTTTGTAAATTTCAAGTTTTCATTTCTTTGTTTAATTTACTCGGAGCAAATGTTGATTTTTAACTTTGACTATCTTTGTTTTTGTTATTATTTAGGAGCCAAATGTGATGAATTAGTAGAAATCTGATTAAATTATCATGAGTAGTGGTTAAATTTATCTAGAATAGTGGATTAAGGCCTAATTAATTTTTTTAACTTTTACATGATTTTAAGTCATTCTACATTTGTTGTTTTATTTTCGTCCTGCTTGGATGTTCATTACTTGTTATTGAGGAATGATTTAAATGCAATATTATTGCTTTACTTATTTTGGGTTCTAATTCCTATTTTTTTGTATCATGTGAACTCATGTGGAGTCCAAATTGGACTCAAATATGTTTCCGTTCGCATTACTAATGAGTCGTGAAAGCTCAAGTCATTCTCATCGAGTCATCCTTGACTATCACTGAAAAATAGGAAGAAAACTGTTCTATTGTCTATCCTCAATTAGGAGTTTTCCATCATATTAATTTTAGTTTGTGCAATCTAGATAAGATGCAAAAGTAATTACAAAGATAAGTCTGAAGAGGGAGAATTTTCTCAAAAGAAGATTAAGGGAAAAAAAAGTAATACAAGAAGTTGATAGTCATTTATAATTCATATTCTCATTTGGTTCAGCCAAGACGGTGATGCTAGTAACCATTAAGAAAAATCAAGAAAGGGAAACAAAACAAAACATAACAAAACAATTGTACATGTATATGCTTTTGTATAGTTTACGTTATGATGATACTCGTTGGGACTTATTGTTGCTATATTTCATTATTTATGAATATTTTCTAAAGGAGTTATTGCATAAAGTGGCTGTTATAGACCATGACAATAAATTGGATCAGATAGCAATTTTTTTCTTGACAATTATATGAATTACATTTGTTTGGTCTTGAAACATTTTAAATCCATCAAAGATTATCTGAACTTTGAGGTGTCAATTACAGTGTGCTTCTTTATTTGATTTTCTATCTAGTTTTTTCGCAACATAAAAGGGTAAAAATTATCCTCATCATATTATAAATTACTCAAAAATATTTTTCTTTTCCCTTATGGGATCACTGATCAAGGTTTAGTTTAGGTCCATATTTACTTTCTAACTTGTCTCCTCATGTGTTTGTTGGGGACTAATGTATGTTGTAGGCTTATAGCATGTATTCTTAACACTGTATTGTACGTAATTATCATTTCACTAATTTTTATCTAAGCTTAAATGTAATGTATGTTAGCTTAAAAGTATAGTATATTTAATTAATCTAAAAGGTTCCGTATGTTACTGCACTTCTTTTTAAATATAATTATGTTACTAATCTTTAATGCTTTCTCTTTATCGCTATTTAAAGGAAAAATATGAAGAAATATTATGGGGAAAACGTCTCAATATGATATTGATCAATGTGAAGCAACTACCAAAGTTGATGAAAAAAGTTCTCTTAAGAATAGTTGATAGATTGTTTTTGATATTTTTCTCCAAAATATGTGATTTGGAGTTTGCTATCTACAGATTTTTGAACCGTCTAAGTATTATTTTTTATGAATGTTTGTTATTTTAGAGGTATTATTAGTAAATGGTCTGTAATTTATCTAAGCAATGTATATTTAAAATAAATAAATGAAATTATTTTACAAGAAATTTTTTAGCAGCAAATTTAATGGAGATTTGGTCATTGCTATAAAAAAATATTGGCGACGAATGAGCAATGAAATATTTGTGGAAAATATGCCGGCTCAAATAACAGAATATTTTGTGATGGATTAGTGACACAAATTTCATCGCAAATTTATTTGAAACGACGAAATTACTTATGAAATAGCAACGAACTATATAAGTATAACGATAGACCAGTCCGTCAATAACAAGTGGCGACGGATATCATTCGCCTCTAATATGTCTCTAAACTTGCGATGGACTCATTTTTCATCGCTAAAAAATTACTAACGAGCGAAATAGCAACAACTAGCAATCCATCGCAAATCCAATTTACCGATGAAATACCATAGATTAGCGGTATGAATGATAATGTTTGTTAGGGATAGACATTTCTTTATTATTATTTTATTTTTATTATTATTTTTAAAAAATACTTTTACAATGCATTGATCAAATCTGTAACATGCTTTGAGAGCATGAATAAAATGATTGCATTATTTTTTTAAAAAAAGCATAATAACAATGTTTTTTTAGATAAAATCCTTTATTTTCCTTTTGAATTACTAAAAGAAAATTAAGAATTTATTTTTGATAAAAGATTAAAGATTCTTTTTTATTTTTAAAAATAAAGATCACCGAACAGAAAGAATGTTGCCTACGTATCTCATTGGAGTAAGAATCCAATGTACGTAGTTCGTCCAAATTGGACTCTTTGAAAAAAAATTGACATATTAAAAGAAATTGACAAATATAATTTTTCAAAGAATTATGAAAGTAAAATATTTTCTTTTACAAGCTTCATGAAAATAATAAAAATATTATTATTCTTTTCATTAAGTAATACAAATTTTTAATTTTATTTTATGAAATGGATAACAACTTCTAAAAGAAGAAAATTTTTTCGTGTTTTTGTTTTTTTAAAATTAATTTTTAAATCACACTAAAATGCGTTAACTTGTAGAGATTTTTTTAAATAAATGCATTTTTCTGTAGCACATAAAATGAGCTAAGTGGCCAAGTAAGAGAGTAATACTTGTCTTGAACGGACCCAACTATTGTTTAAAGGTTCACTAAGTCATGAAATAATGATGCAAATAATCAAAGTGTTCTAAGGATAAACAGGTCTATGCGATAGTTTTATAAGGTTCAAACATGAATAAGATGGATATACAAATTGGCTTAACTCGAGCCAGGAAGGGATAACTTATCGATAGCAGCGCTATTTCGACTTCATTGCTGG